TCGTTCATTCATAGACAGTGGGTCTTCAATTACTAACTGTCATACTCTCAAGTGAACGTTCAATAATATTAAGAGTACATCTCTTTATATTAAAGAAAGGCGGAAAAAAAACAAAAGGATTTTGAGTGATGCAGGGATCGAACCTGCGACCTATTGGTTCGTAGCCAATCGCACTTCCACTGTGCTAAACACCCATCGAAAAAGAACGAATTTATTGTCCATATTTGAGCTGATTTTGTGGGGGCTTTTTTTTCGTTCCAAACTTCTTCAAAAATCCAAATATTCTCCTATTTTCCAAGATAGAGTAGTCCTTATCATCCACGTAGCCTAGTTTTTGTAATCCGAAACTAAACTCTCAAATATAGTATGGGATGAGTTTGCAAAAATTTCCATACTTTTTGGTTTGAAAATTGGATTGGACAGTTAACTCAAATCGTAAAAACAAAAAGATATCAGTTTTATGCTATTATTAATAATAACATATAACTAGTTATAACATACTTAAGAAATATATACAAAATAATTAATTAAATTATAAGTAATATTTATTATCTCTTCTCAACAAATGTTTAACCCAACTTTTAAATATTTAATATGTATGGTATTGATTTTAATGATCTTTATCAACTGTAATGGAGTATTGTCGAATGAAGTACTTGGAAAGAAACACTGTCACCAGCCATGTCAATTCCCTGAGGCCTGTAACTATGACCCAAATGGAGCCTTCGATCCTATCTGTATGAAATGTCCACCCAACAAAGTAATTGTCGGTGGAATGTGTGTCTCCTGCGTCAATGCCCCTGAACTCTGTAAATACGAAGGTGTGCCATACCAATAAACACAAAAGAGACTCTTCTAGTATAGGCGGTATGAAGTTAGTCTTCTGTCAATCAATCAAACTTTGAAAAGTGTGTGTGAGTGTCCATTGTTGATCAATCAGACTTCACACACTCGCTTCTCTCTCACTCACTCACTTGTACAAGTTGAAGGGTCATTATAACTCGCGAATAACTTCAATACTACTACTACACATACAACACAAGATAAAGAATTGAGTAGATATAGAGAGAGAGATAAAGATACCTATAATATGAAAGAGCGTAGAGTCAAGTGCTTGCACAAACGATGCAGGAGCAATAAGAGTGACTTCTCGGCACAGGGCTACAAGGAACATCGAACCAATGCAAAGTTCCACGTTTGTAATGCAAAGTACTGTTCAGAGTGCAAGGCTATCAAAGCGGAGGAGGCCGGCCAAAAGCCTGCCGCTGCCTCTGCTGCCAAGCCTGCTCCTGCCAAGACTGGTCCGGGCGCAGCGGCTGAAGCCATTGTACCACCCGAGAAGGAATGTCAACAGTTGTTTCAACAGGACATGGATTTTATCTCTCAATTGCTACCAGTCAACGGATCAATGTGGGAGTGTATCGAATATCTATTGAAGTATCCATACGGTCAACAGTACAACATTAGAAAGTACTCATCAGGTATGTCGGTCATAGTTTGATTGATTGATTGATTGATGTGATCGTATACTCATGCTTGTATATCCATAGAGATGAAGGTGGAGCATGGTATTAGATCATACGATAACTTTGCTCAAGTATCCATTCAATCAATCATCACAAAGTCTATCAAGCTAGCAAAGCCAGACAAGACAAACACACTATACTTTAAAATATTCTTTGACCTGTTCAAGTACAATCAAGACCCAAAGAGAAGTCCAGAGTCAACACTTGTAACTATCGATCATACGACTCATTCATTCACTTCATTCATCGTCATTAACATCAATCAATCAATGTATGTAGGTCAATGGATACTGTCAACTTGTATACACAGAGAAGGACATCAAGTATCCTGGTAGACTACACTCACTCAATGACTATGATATGTTCTTGTGTGTTGCTTGCAAGGACTTTAAGGAGGTGTCAAAGGAGCTTACATCATTTGGAAAGGAACTCAATGAGTTGCTCGCTGGCAAGAAGATCATCTCACTACTCGTCGACAACGAAACTTACAAATTGAAGCCAGTATTTGTCAATGATACTGCCACCCTAGCATTCCTTCAAGGACTGTCCAAGCTACAGAGGTATGTCAATTGATTGATCGATATGACATACATACTAAGTCCTTTAACTCCTTTAGATGCTGTTGGTGTAAATGCACTCCAGATCAATTGTGCAATCATGGTATGGACTTTATACCTCGTGATATGAGCCAAGTCAATGATGCGAATCTGATATCACCTTTGGCCAGCATACCTATACAACAACACATACCAGATGTATGCGAGTTGTTTGTTACACTGGTGGAGCAATTCACTCGACTGACATTGAGCGAGATATTGGGCAAGCAGAGCTACACCAGCACCTCTCCTCATCTCCAGAAGCGCATCAATGAGACACTTCGACACATGGTCACCGACAAAGATAACGATAGAATAATTAATGGACTAAGATATAATCAGTATGGATGGGATTGGAACATGACCCATGATCGATCGATCAATCAACTAACATTGCTCCTCCATCCATCCATCAATTCTTAGGAACATAACAATGACATTGGAGGCTGGCAAGGCATTGTTAAAGAATAGAACAGCACTTCTCAATCTTCATCGAGAGATAACAAAGGAGGAACAGAGGAATAGTGATCTGCGACAGATTTGGCAACAGTTGTCCACTCTCCTCAATCTATGCATGAGCAAACAGCCGGCTGCTGCTGCTGGAACACCAGCCATCACCAACGCCGAGTGGAACAAACTCTCGTTTGTCTTTGCCGACAACTTCAAACGATTGTTTGGACCAAAGAGCTTCACCAGCGAGCTCCATGTCTTTGTATGCCACCTTGGCTACTACATCGAGACCTACACCAACCTTTTCCTTTTTACCAACTTCTCAATCAAGAGAATGTATTCATCAACGCTCAAACGTAAGTAGTGTATGATGTATTGTGGTCGCCTCACTTACTCACTCCACTCCTCACCCTCTTGAAGAACATTGCAACCCTAGGAAGGAGATACTCATACCTGCTATGAGCAGGTTTGTCAACACGATATCCAATGTTGGACTACAGATCATGAGCAAGTTCTATATCTTGCTTCAAACAACTGATGCCACAGTCGATTTGAACACACCAGCAGTATGGAAGAGTGTAGCAAACAACTACTTCAGACCAGACTTCTTTGATCCCAAGGAACGTGATCCAAATAGCATCAACACTCTGTTCAAGATCACTACATATGGTTCATCCCGCGATAAACCACAGACAACATCATCGACATCAACAACAAAGAGCACTGCTGGACGTATCATTGAACTTGATGAGGATTCATCTGAACCAACACCTAGCACGACGACTACTACCTCCACCTCGACCACATCCACTACATCGACAGCATCCACCATATCATCACGTTCATCATTGTCCTCCAAAAGGCTGAAAAAGATGGTCAAGAATGCCAACAAACCATCAAAGCTCCAGATCATATCGGCAGTGATGACACTGAAGAAGCTCACATTGGTGCTAAAGGGACGCAAATCAAACTACACCGTCGAGCTACGAAGCATGAAGGGTGACAGCTTTAGATACTCTTGCTCCTGCAGCATCTATGCCAAGAGGGACATGTGCAAGCACGTCCTTTGGGTCTTCTTCCAGCACTCTACATTGACCACTGCAGACGCAGTCATGGCCACCGAGGCCATATCACTATCGCTCCTATCATCAGTTCATAGGAGCATTCTAAAGGTGATCACCAAGCCTTCTGTTGATGTCGAAGAAGATGACTCCCCAGCAACAAGCCCTATCTTGTCACCCAAGATCACCAACCCTTTAGTTGGGTTACCCGCCCTACCAATCAAGACCCCAACCCCAAGCGACTCTCCTCCTCTCAAGTTCACAAGCACATCTGGTAGTTTGCCTCCATTGGCACCCAAGATCATATCTCTGACCACTCCGCTCAACCCGTTACCAAACATACAAGACCTAATTAGCTCCAATGGCAAACCTCCAGCGACAACCAAGACAACTGTACCAACAACTACAACAACTACAACAACAACGACAACATCTACAGCATCAACAGCACATCCAACCACGAGTATACCATCTCCAGAGGTCATTGTCGTGCCACCAGCACAAACCACCTCCACTACTACAGGTGCACCAGCAGCAGCGGCAGCAGCAGTGGCAGCGGTTGGAGAGCATGTCAAGGAGGTAACGGCAAATGGCAACAATGGCAATGGCAATAGCAATAGCAACACAAACAACAAGAACAACACAAAGAAGAGGAAGCATGAAGAGATTGTTAGGCCAGTTGTGGTCGCCAAGAGACTCAAAGAGGACCATCTGTTCAATAGTTTCTCAGAAGCCGAGGTCGAAGAGTTTGACCCGGACACAAAGAGATACTTGGTTCGATTCACCGACGAAGAGTAAGTTTGAACAAGAGTCCAACCTTCAACCAAAAAACTGACTGACATTGTCACTCTCCTAGATCATCCAACATGGAACCTCAATGGACCAACGAAAAGGACATCATCAAGTCGGGTGGCAAGGTGACAACGCCATTCGACTTGAGGACAAAAATACCAGATGATGCTCTACTACTCGTACGCACCGTGGAGATGTGCAGACAGCGATCAATGCACAAGCCAAAGACTGGCAAGGACCTACCATCATGGTATCGTGCCAAGCTTGTCGGTAGGAATCACAAGGGTTTGCGAGTGTTGCTCCTGGACTTTAGTCCAAGCACTCAGATACAAGAGGTCACCATCCCCTATGGCGACAACTTGATTCTCTATCACAATTGATCAAATAAACCTAGTTTCCTTGTCCTATGCTATCTATGTACACACTTGTTGGAATGATCATTCCATTCATATTTAATTTTATGATGAGACCTTCGGTATGGCGCGCTCTGATTGATGAGCCAATCTGTAGGTGAGCACATTGTGAATGAACTGTACACACTTTTGTGAGAGGACCAGTCCCTCCATTGGATTGGAACTGGATACATCATAAAGGTTGGGTGCGACTACGATGGCCAAATTCTGTAGAGTCATCTTGTTGACACTGGCATGTGATGCCACTTGAAGCAAGAGAGCCAACAACCAATCCAGAAGGTTCTTTTGTATGCTTGGCAGTCTGTTTACCGCCTCCACACATGTCTCCACATCATTACAATGGAAGATATTCTCTGTTGGTATCGAGTTTAGAATAGGTGTTGGCAATTCTCTGTACCAAATCTGATTGATTGATTGATTTAGGGTGTCAGTGATTGTGGACTCGACCTTGGAGTCACATGGACCCAATCCAATACATACCTTGATCAGTGATGCGACAGTATTGATGTCGTTGCTTGATGTAAACTCATTCTTGTTCATTGAACCTTTGATACGTTTGATCTCGGTCTGCTCACCAGCGAGCCTAAAGATACCTTCTTGTTCTAGACCTCCAAACTCTATAAGTGATCTCTTCATTTGTACGAGGATGGCCGGTACACGGTATCCTTCATCCTCCACTTGTTCCAGAGTGGAGGGATCGACACCAAACACACCAGTCTCACAACGTATCTTGACGGTGAGGAAGTGGCTGACACCGCCCTCTACACGGAGCACTGCCTTGTGATTGGTGTTGATCTTTTGGAGAACGACCAGCTTGACCTTGATCAGCTTGACCTTGCCCTTCTCGATTGTGCCCGATGCCGGACTGAAGCTGAGCTGGAACTCCTGTGGCACAAGCGGCTCGAGCTGGAACTTTAGCTTGTTCTTTGACATGTTGGCGATGGCGAATTGGTCCTGAACGGTGGTCCTGAGAGGACATGGACGATCGCCCATATTAAAGTCCAGTATACTCTTTGATACATCTATGCCACCATGATTGCCGACACCAATCTCTTCGATATTAGGCTTTGACCTGTAGTCAACATGTGATGAACCACTGGGTGCACTAATATCACCAAGTGATGAGTTTGATGTTGATGGTGTATTTGATGCAGACGATGATGCTTTGGATGATGATGATCCCATTGTTATGTATATGTAAGTAGTAATGTACTGATAGTTATGTGGTAGGTAGGTTAAGGAATGAGTCTATAGACTGATGAAGAGATGATATTAATGATGTGGATAATGGATATAAAGTTTGTTGTTATAACAATGTCATCTCCAACAACAACATTAACGTATATGATCCAACAACAACATCATCATCTACTCTAGGTTGTATGACCTCAGCGCGCGCGCATTCATCTTGGAACTCCACCACTCTCAATCAATCAATCACTCCACGCACTCAACAAACCCCCTCCCTTTGATCACTCATTCACGATCACCCTCACTCTCAAGTCTACGCATCCGAGTGGGTGTATGTATGTGGGGGTAGTGATGAGGAGTAGTACGTCCCGGGACATACAACTACATAGAGTGAATGACATCAGTCCATCAACCTCATCTATCGACACATGTCCTTTCCTTGAAGGACCTTATTACTTAGGCTGATATTTGTTGACATCAACCACAAACGTACGCCCACATGAAATTTGAACATCCTTGGAGGTGCAAAGGAAGAAAGTGATAATAACAACAAAAACAACTAATAAAGTAAATAGGTAAACTAACTATTATTACTTCTTTCGTCAGACAATATTGGTCTATGGCCTGAAGTACCATTCCATTTATGTTAACTGACGTGGTCAGTTTAAATGATTGATTGATTGGATGACACAATAATGTGTTTGAATGACACATCACCCACGATCAAACCTCTGATCGAAGTGGTCACCTGTTGATTGAACTTGGTGAAAGGCCCTATCTTTGAAGGCCAAGATGGTTATTATTATCTGTCGACTGAAACACGTTGATCATTCCAGAAATAGATCACTTTACACCAATCATTCATTCGGTTCTATATAATACCAATCTTCATCTTATTTTAATAATTATCATAATCAAATAATAATAATAACGAAGAAATAATAAGAATGAATAGTAAAGTTGTAATATATAATGTATTAATATTTATAACATTGTTGGTGATTGTAACAAATGGACAGGTATGCTCCAGATGTAGAAAGCTGGGTGAGACATGCAATAAGAATGTATCAAACATCTGTCAAAAGGGTTCAATGTGTGTAGACACCATTGGCAATGCTACATTCAAATGTGTAACCATACCTGGAAATGGTGGCAACTGTTCTCTCACCAATCTATGCTCCGACTCCTACACCTGCAATCCATCCACAAAGATTTGTGTCTCTGAGAACTATCTTGGTATGTTGTAGTATATCTTGACATTGATCATTGACCATTGGCCATTGACTAACTGACATGAACCAAAGGCACTGGCGAGACATGTGTAAATACAACACAATGTAGTGATGGTCTATTGTGTACAAACTCAAAGTGTACGAATCCATCGTATCCAACATGTTCTTCTAGTTCTGATTGTTTCTGGAATGAAACTTGTGCCAATGATCATAAGTGCAAGACGCCAGTTGCCAATGGTGAACAATGTATGACCTACTCTGACTGTACCCAAAGCAGTAACTGTGTCAACAACAAGTGTGTCGCATCACTCTCCGTTCAAGTTGGTGGAGTATGCTCACTAGACAGTGATTGTGATATATCACAAGAGTTAATGGTATGTTACATGATTGAAAGATGAGATAAGACGAGTTACTAACAATAATTACAGTGTATAAACAAGACATGTCAGGACAAGGACTTGTATGGACTGCTCAAGTGTAACACTTCGAAGGATTGTTCGATGGGAGTATGCATGTGTGATGGTAATGAAGTTACTACGACCAATGCTACTTCGAATGGTACTTGTTATCCATTGCTAGATATGACTCGTGTGTCAAAGTCTGTTCTGGATCAATACTTCCAATGTGTTGTGAACAACAAGTGTCCACAAGTTGACAATATCATACCAGGTAGCTGTGCCTACAAATGTGGTACACCATTTTATGCCACATTCAATCCACCATGCAACATCAACTCTGCCATCTCATCCATTCATATCAACAACCTTACACTACTTTTAATTAGTATGATAGTTATATTCATCATAATGTTGTAAAGATATAAATTATAATCTAGTGTTATTATGTATTAATAAACCAAAAAAGGAAAGAACTTCATCACTTAGTTATGAACAAAAATATCCAAACCAATGTTTTTTTTTAATTTAAATAGTTTTTGTTGATCATAATGTGTGGTGGGAAAGCGAGTCCAAAGGTGGGGTGATCGTCTGTGTGTTTTTGAGAGACGACTTCCTGTGATGATGGTGACAATTACAAGGTGTCACCCTCCCTTTCCTTTGTTTGGTTTGAATGAATGAGTGGAGTCCACAACTTGGTCCCAAGTTTGATTGTTAAGGTTTAGTTCAATTCACTCACAAGTGCATACAAACAACAAACAAACAGATATATATATCTTATTCAAAAATGATACAAATATTAATTGGTGTTGTCGTTGCTCTAGTATTACTATCATTATTCAAAAAGGTAGGTTCTCAATCATCCCCTATGCCCACACACAACATCACTTACTCATTCATTCAAACATTATTCAGAATGTCCCTGGCACTCCACCAATGATCGGAAAGATCCCATTGATTGGATGTTTCTACCAGTTCGCCACTGACCCACTGGGATTGGTGAAGAGATCGTACGAGGCGGCCGGTGACGCCTTCACACTCTATCTGATGGGTTTCAAGATGACCTTTTTGGTCGGACCTGAGGCACAGTCTGTGTTCTTTCGTGGTACCGACGAGGAGCTGAGCCCAAAGGAAGCCTACCGTTTCGTCACACCCGTGTTTGGTCCAGGCGTCGTCTACGACTCGCCAACCGAGGTCATGTATGAGCAGCTTCGTTTCGTCAAGAATGGTCTCGTCCTCGGACAACTCAAGAAGGCCGTCGGTATCATCACCGAAGAGACCGAGAAGTTCCTCGAGGAGAAGTGGGGAGACTCTGGTGAGGTTGACTTGTTGACCGAAATGAACAATGTATGTGGTCGGAAACACGGCGCGGAAACACGGAAACAAGTCAAGGCTAACACTCCTTTTTCTTTTACAACCTTTAGTTGACAATCTTAACTGCCTCACGTTGTCTTATGGGCAAGGATATTAACTCTGCATTGGGAAAGCAATCAAACTTGGCCGATTTGTACCATGAGTTGGAGGAAGGATTGAACCCAATCTCGTTCTTCTTCCCAAATCTTCCATTGCCATCGTTTGCCAAGCGTGATGCTGCCCGTGCAAAGGTGGCAGCCATCTTTGATTCGATCATCAAGGAGCGCAGAAAGTGCAATGAGGAGCGTGACGATGTGCTCCAGGTGCTCATGACCAGCAAATACAAGGACGGCTCGCAGCTTGACGACGAGAAGATCGTCGGTCTGATGATTGGTCTGCTGTTTGCCGGCCAGCACACCTCGTCGATCACCTCGACTTGGACCGGCTACTACATGTTCAACAACCCAGAGTACCACGACGAGGTGTTGCGCGAGATCCAGAGCATCCACGTCGACGAGTTCAACGGTGAGATCTGCTTCGATGGCCTTCGCAAGATGAACCGTCTCGAGACCATTGTTCGCGAGGTCCTCCGTCTGCACCCTCCCTTGATCTTCTTGATGCGCAAGGTAATGGAGCCCATCCAGTACAAGGACTACACCATCCCGGCCGGCCATCTGGTTGCCGTGTCGCCCGCCGTCGGCATGCGTCTCGAGTCAGTGTTCAAGAACGCTAACGAGTTTGATCCAAAGCGTTTCGACGCCGATCGTGCCGAGGACAAGACACCATTCTCCTACATTGCCTTTGGCGGTGGCAAGCACGGCTGTCCCGGCGAGAACTTTGGCATCCTCCAGATCAAGACCATCTGGTCCGTACTCCTCCAGAAGTATGACCTCGACATTGGTTCCATCCCCCAGCCAGACTACTCTAGTTTGGTTGCTGGTCCCAAGGCACCATGCAAGATCAGATACACCAAGAAGTCAAAGAAGTAAAGTAAAGTTAAGAGTGGAGTGAATGTCTGTCCACGACGTTGACATCAATGTTCGGTCCAACAAACCACCAATAAACCCTATTCATTCATTCTAAGTATTGACAATTCCACTAAGCGTGGACCGACGACATTGCCTTTGCCCACTTTGTCAACTCGATCAAGACTGGAGTGCCTACTGCTGTCATGGTCATCGGGTGCTCATCCTAGCCCTCTCCCACACTGTGCGAATCAATGAGCACGCTAGCACCTAGGTGCATCGATGTTCATGCTCATTGGAACCCAAGACAGACCAACCTATTGCATGATCGGTCGCAAGGGCAGCCAGCCTGGATCAGCGATAGAGTCCTCGGGTGACCCACCAAAGGCCACATGGTTGAGGTTGAGAGGGACTTCGTCTCATCGTGACTATTAAATTAGCAACGGGATCAGCATGAACAACAATATAAGTAGCGTTGTCTTCGTGATTGGTCTGGTGGCCCACCTGCCTTTCGTACGACTTCCACCTGCACCCTTGCTAGCAAGGTAACCATAGGGGTTGACAATAAATAGTGCCTCAGAGAGATAGACAAGTTATTCACTTTTATGGTTCATTTATTACTACAATACATATATATACATAAAGAGAGAGATAATGTCAAGACATTCAAAGAATAAGACATCATCTGGAAGATTTACATACTCTGAAAGACAAGAGTTGGGATATGGAACAAAGGTTGAGAGACTTGGCAAAGACTCATTAAAGGCATTCGATTCTTGTTGTATATGTTTGAACTCTTTGATATCTCCACTGAGTTGGTATGTACATATGAACACTTGATCAATCAATCAATCAATCATATAACTTACACAAGTACTATACAGTACAAAGGGACATCTCTATTGTAAAGAATGTATATATACTTCATTGGTGATGCAGAAGAAACAGATAAAGGAGAAGGAAAAGGAATGGTTACAACAATTGGAGAAGAATAAGCAATTGGATGAGACAAAGAGATTGAAACAGGTAGAGGATGAGTTAAAGGTGTTTGAATCAAACAATGTCACCTATCTAGACAATACAAACGGAGGAGCATCAAGCAGCAACAGTAATGGTGTCAAGGAGATGGAGCCAAAGCTTAATAGTTTCTGGGTTGTATGTATACGATACTTCAATGAATCTAGCAGTTAACTAACTAACTATTGAAATCCATCCAGCCATCTTTAACACCTCAATCAAAGGAGAGTGAGAAGAATAAGCCAGATAATCATACAATGTGCCCAGAGGGTGGACATCAGATACGAATGAAGCAGTTGATAGCGGTCAAGTTTAAACAGGCGACTGGAGAGGATAGTGTTGCATTGTCTACGTCGGTGCAGGCAAAGTACTGTTGTCCAATATGCGATAAGATATTGACGAATAGTCATTCACTCAAACTGCTGAAGCGATGTGGACATGTCTTTTGCGAGTCATGTATCAAACGAACGATGGAAGGCGACAATAAGAAGAAGGACGAGAAGCAAGTTGTTGGCTCATGCTTTGTCTGTGCCAAAGAGTTTGAATCACACGAAGCCATCTCATTGCAACGAGGAGGCACAGGTTTCTCAGGTCTTGGACAGACTCTTGAAGCAAAGAAATATACACCAACAGCTATAATATGATCACCGACGTAGACAATGCAAAGCCAATATTAGAGTTATAATAATAATTTATTTGATCGGTTACAGCTGACATCTCGCTTATGTCTGCTGTTGTGTCGCACTGTTGTTGTTCAGAAGTTAGGTCATTACCACTTCTCAAGACCCTTGAGGAGGATGATGACACCCCAGATGATGGACCAGAACCAACCGACGAATGGGAGACACAACTGTTTGATTGATGGATCATTAGTAGTGCTACACTCGCTACGATAGTTGCAATTGTGACTTACCTGGAGGACTCCGATGATGACACACCAAACATTGCAGTTGTCCAAGACACCGAGGATGATGGTTCCAATGCCGAACAAGAAGAAGTCGAGGATTCCACAGATGATCATGACATTCTTCTCGAGGGAAGGAATGGCGGATGGCAAGAAGTTATCGGCAGCTCCCATTGTTATATATGTGTATGTGTAATAAGAATATGTTACTCAATTTAAAGAATGAATGATGAGGGCAATCGTCGACGTTGTGTATTAGTAAAGTTCGAGTCAGAAGTTTTAGACGACAAAACTCTGAGAAGGTTAGCGCAAAACAGTCACTGGAACACGGCACAATTATTTTTAACTTTGGGAGGGTTCCTCATCACGACTACACATAGATCTGGGCTCAGATTGCAGATGATGAGGGGAATCAGACCAAGTAAGAAGAATGCCTGTTTTGTGGTATGGTTCACCACTGACTCACAGATTATTTGAATGGTCCACCCTCACAAAACGTCAAAACCCCCACATTTATCTAAAAATATCTTGATTAGGGATCCGATGTTCGAGAATAAAGGTCCACAAAAGACAAATAATAATAATCACACACCTTTATTATTATGATTTATTATTAATTATTACATTAGTAATCTATATTATTTACTTCTTTAATTAAAGAAGAGGTAGTGTAAATATTAGACTCCTATCTTTTTAGATTAACGATCGTGTTTGTTTTCTTTTGATAGATATTTGTTTGATTGGGTATCACCCATTTGTCAGATATTTAGATTGATTTCATTAAGACACACACACAAACAAATAGCCCTTATCCATCTGATGAATGGGCAATGAAAGATGGCGACAAATACAGCCTTCCAACACACCACAAAACAACATCTATCATCTAACCTTAAGACTACATTCTACGCTCATCTTCACCTAACCTAGGCCAAGCTCCGCCTCTCTCTCTCCACTCCACTTATGAATGAAGAAATGATTGTTTGGTTGATTAGATCAACTAATAATATTTATACAATTAAGTATATAAAATGTCAAGTCATTATAAGTTTATATTATTTGGCATTACACTCATTATATTGTCAATGAGTCCGTTGTGTAAGTGTCTGCGCACTCATTCCATCACTCACTCACTCACTCACTCAACAACTTTGAATTAATCAATAAACAGATCAATGTGCAGTACCATCAATAGCAAACTTTAAATTGAACAGTGGATATAGTAATAGTGTACCATGTTTACTATCATATGAGGTGTTGTTCCAGGACTATGACCCAAAGAATTTAATATCAGCAGTCAATACATCATCAGTCCAGTTCAACTCACAGGTATCACTATTTCAGAATATGACCAACAGTCTCTACAGACTAAGATACACCATCTCAACCAATGGCACCCAAACACCTCAGTTCTCCATATCCGACTCAAAGGGTACAATTCTAACAACCTTGAATTTTCCAGCATTCACATGTTACTGTATGTATCACTCATTCAATCCTGGAATCATTCCAAATATATGACTAACCAACCATATCACAAACAAACAAATAGTAAACAACGTCACTATAGAAGCGAAGGTATTGAGTTCAAGCTTCAATGTGTCAACGATGGGAGTTGATGTATATCTTGATATCTATCCACCATTGAATAATAATCAATATTCAGCTGATGTCACACCTGGAAGTGTTAGAACATTCACTCAGATGCCCAACCAACAATACTACCTCTATTTTGAATTACCAACATCATATTTTCAATTGATCAACGTTTCACTAGCCATCACCAATCCAGGAGCCGGACTCTTTTTCAATCTTCCAGTCTTCAAGAACCAATCCAGTAAGCAAACATTGGAGACTGATCAGTCTCGGAATCATTCCATCGTCACGCACTAATCAACCAACCAACCAATCAATCAATCAATCAATCACACTAGACATGACTACTGTCAACTCATTTTCTTACTATTTCCAGAATGATAGTAAGATATCCAAGTATAGAGAGACATTGTATTTGGATATGATTGCCAATGTTAGTGATTGGAATAGTGATGTGGTGTCATTTATCGGTTATAGCTTGAGATCATTGCAAATACCATTGCTTGGATCAAGAAAGAATGCAGTGATCAATGTTAGGACAACAATCGACCCCTATGATATATTTAGTAATACTTTGGTTTACGGTATCAATCAACCATCATTGTCAGTGTGGGAGCTCGACAAAGTGACCTACTCATTCCAAGAACGACTCAGTATCAATTCTATAATCAACACTTATCAGAACCATAACGATCTGGCAATGTACCGCTCAGAGGATCTAACTGATTTCCAACCAACATTGGAGGGTGGTCTACTGTATGGAACCGACTTCTCAGAGTATCCATATCCATTTGGAATCATTAGCAACAAGCCAAACTCTGGTCTATTCAAGTACAAGTATACATATGCCTTCCCTGTCGATCTGGCCAACTCCACCGATATGAACGCACTTAACATGTACATCCTATACTGCGCCAACAGTCCAGATTATGGTACATTCTGGCAATATCTTGGTCCATATCGTATGTATCCCACTACTCACTCAATCAGAAGTAGTCTGACTCCAGTAGTCAGTCTATTCCAATTCCAATCACTGATTGGACCAGACTACTATTCCAATTCCAATCACTAACTCAATCAAACAAATAGCAATCGCATCCACATCGATATCATTGCCCACGATCAACTTGAAGATGTTAAGTTCAGATTCATTCATTGTGAGGCTAAGGATTAGAACGAGTGGACATGCATTCCAGTTTGCTAAACTATATGGTGATGAGATCACCGCCACTCACTTGATTCAGGGTACAAATACTGATGGATGGTATGAGAGGGAGTTCTCGGTGGTGGACTACATCTTGAACCCAGTGGCAGCACCATACTTCCAATCATTCAGTGGCCGCAACGCAACTATACAATACGATTTTGTTGTCAACATCAACTTTGACATGTTCCCATCGGTACCAACAATGATGGTGGTCCCAGCTGACTTTTCATCATTCCAATTCCAACCAAGTTATATTGATGTGACCAATGGACCTCGGGATGTAGTCCTAACATTTGGTCTCAAGTCATCATATCCAACATCAATGATACAACCCTACCTGTACATTGATCAGTTTGAAGAGTCCATACTCCCACTCAACAGGTCACACCTCCTGCCCGCCACCTACGACGTTGTCTCACAGACCTACTCGATCTCCTTTACCGTTCGCGAGAAGCTCTTCACAAGGGCACTGGCCTATCGACTGTTCATTGGTGGAGCATGCTTGAGACCAAAGTACTTGTCAACTAGCAAGTTGATCCAGAACAATGCCTTCCTCCAAGTGTACTCAGAGTACGCAGACGAGATGGGTCCGATTGTGTCCAGTTTGATACCAAAGATGGGCACTGTCGTCGTGTCCTCCTCGTTGCCCGTCAACTGGGTAGAGTTAGGTTGGTCAGTAACAATCGATGACTATCCAGCGGGATTCAGTCATGGATTGGCAGTGATCAGATCGGACATTGACAATGAACCACGCAACATATCATTCACATTACTGGACGCCATCAGTGGAGACAAGTATCAATCAACATACCGCTTGATGTTCAATATTAGCACAACATGTACCAGTCAGTCATTCTATCCCAGTCTGGAACTATATGACACACTTGGCAACATGGCCACCAACCTACGATCGACCAAGGACAACTCCCCATACATCACGCCATTCTACAAACTGGATAGTCCATTCCGTATTGATCGATCTATTGTTGTCAATTGCACTGGTTCCAATGATACGGTGGCGCCATCGATCATGACCCTCGACCTACAACCATACACTGTTGATGTTGGAAGTAATGATCGAAAATTCCAAGTCAACATCACCGTGGCCGACTCTGGAAGTGGGATATCAACACGTCACTGTCCATACCTCTATGTCCAGACGTTGAGGACCAAGTACATACGATTCCAATCACAATACTCTGGAAGGGTGGGATCATACTACGTGTTCACAGTCAATGGCGAACTACCATTTGGATTTGGTGTCAACTCTGCATTCCTCTCTGTGTTTGGCGTCGTGGACAACATGAACAATGTGGCTGGATTGACTACTTGGGACCTACAGAGCTATGAAATGACCTACATGATCAATACTACACTTGGTTTGGTCGATCCTTACTTGTTCTCAAGTACACCAATCACCACCAATGGAGGAAAGATGATTGTGAAGGGCAGGATACCAGCAGGTCCATACACATTGAGCGTCAGTGTGATCAATCAGACCGTCATTCTGCCAGTGCTTAACATCACCAACTCTGTGGTAACATTCCAGATGCCACCAATGTCATCGGTCTATCCAATTGTGATCGTGCTCACAGTCAGTGGAAGAGCTTCCAACAAGCTGACTGTAATCCCAACGCAATACTTCACTCCCAGTCCACCCGTTCCTCCATGCAGTGATGACCAGTGCTCAGGTCATGGAACATGTCTGGCCAATGAATGTCAATGCTTCCAGGGATGGGCCGGCGCCACCTGTCTCGATCAACCAACAGCCAACGTCACACCGCCAGTAATCACACCTACAAATGCCTCGTCCACTGTGATTATTCCCCAAGACGACAGTACCATCACTCTGCACATGGGAGTTGTGAGCGTTCGTGAAGTGGCCGTTGATGGTTCCATCGTGAAGGAACATCCACTTGCCAACTGGACCAGACTGGTGACCGACAACAGCAACAGCAGCTACCATCAGTTCATTGCCAACATATCTGGTGATGGTGTGTTGGTGACCACGGTCAAGGCAACCGTTCAGTTCTTCACCAACCTGACGCAGATACCATTTGCCGGCTCAGTCTTGACGATGCAACCCAACACAATCAAGTACACGATCGAGTTGTCCGAGTACAGTTTCCAAAACATACTCAACACGATGCAGGTACTCATGTCGGCGTCAGTGGCAAGCAGCCAAGACTGTTCAGCATCGCCCGAGAGTCAGGTGGGACTCAACGCCGATGGCAGTCTGCAGTGGGTGCGTCTGGTTGTTGGTGGCATGACACTCTATGGCAGAATGTTCCAGAAGGCTGTGATTGATCTACGTCCAACATATGTGACCAGTACTCTTGCTGGCAATGTCACACTGAACGACTCAATCACAGCACTGGTCGCACTCAACCTACCACATTACACCAATACTATTGTTTGTGATCCAGACTTCCAAGTGTTGGTTGATGGAGGTGCATCATCGACATCTGGTGAGGATAAATGTGGTCTTGGAGCAAAGAACAATATCTCTGGTCTAAGCAATGCAGCACTATCTGGTATTATAGTTGGTGGAGTAGTATTCTTGGCAGTAGTAATAGGTGCCAGCATCCTCTTATACAAAAATATTCGTTATCACAGAGAGGAGAAGATCCTAATGAATCGTCTAAATACAAACATGTAGTAAGAGATGTTCATCATCATCAACAATAAACTAAAGTAAAGTCAGACATCGTCGCTCGCTCAAAGACATGCTATTTCAAGAGATAATAGTGACCCATAATCAATGATGGGTGTTTGGGTGATGATACCGAAAGTCGACGAATTTGAAAAAGTTAATAATCTAATAACACTTGTTGGCATATGTTAGGAAAGCTCCTTCATGAGTCTCTCTCCTCGTTCCTTTGCCACAGATAAACTGGGGAAGGTTTTAAAACACTTGAAACGATTAAAATATGAAGTTCGAGAACCTAGTCTTCCCACACCTCTTAAACAAATAATCTAAAGTTAAACAACAATCTAAACATACACCAATCTTGGTGTCCATTCGTTCAGTAACTATCTATCTCATTCTCTCTATCTTCTTTCCACCCCTCATTGTATGAATTTCTATGACAGGCAGACTACAAGTTATTAAATTGAACGTACGCCCATCAAGTGATTGGCTTTGTGATAATGGGCCGTATTCAATCTAACATTGAGTGGGATGTACACATACATCGGACTGAAAAGACCCACCGACAATGGGTTGTTGGCAATCGAATCTCATAGGAGAGCTGCCCACATCGACCACCAAGATTTACAAGTTTTTTTTTATCCATTGGGATTTTGGGTCGGCAAGTATCTTCGTTTGGGCGAGTGGTTTTTGGGCAGTGCGAAAGCGAATGTAAGGGGCTGATGGCCCGCTGTTTCATTCATTGGCAGGACATCCCACCGAACTAGTCCATCTACTTACTGGTCGTCATCCAACAGATTGTTCCTTTTAGTTGACAATTACGAATTATTATTATTAAGTTACTTACTACTAATACATATTATTAATCTACAAATAGGAATTATCATATTATATATATCACCTACCCTTATCATTATCAGTTCTTGATCTATCTGATCACACTAGATTTGATTCCAAATGATGTCCAGTGAAGATGACTCAACTCCTATGTTCTTGACATCCTCTGTGGATATGTCCGAAGAGGAGAATGAGATGCTCTATGATCTTTTAAAGAAGTATGTTTCATTAGTCATACTTTACAAGATGGATATACTAACTGGTCAATCATCAACAGAGGATGTAGTGGTAGTATTGAAGGAGAAGAGCAGGATCATCTTAAATCCCTACTTCTTGAACAAACAATTGAAGATAGACATAGAGCACAATACAGAGCAAGACATTCAATTTATCCAACACGTAAGTTGTCACTTATATTTAATTCCAAGTATTGAATACTTGGAGATCTAACACAGCCCATATATGGATAAAATATAGAGGAGGAAAAGATGGCATCCACAATGGTACAGTTCTCAAAGTATCACATTGACTTTGGATTGAAGGAGGCTGAGAAATGCAAAGTTGGCCCAACACTCAAGGACAAGATTCGTGTTAGCAATAGGGGCAGTTCAAAGGTGTCGTTCAACTTTGTTAACTATCCACCGACATCCAGCAGCATCAGACTGACTATTACACCATCGAGTGGCGTCATCAAGAAGAACTCATCACTAGACATCTTTGTCGAGCTGGTCGTGCTGTGCACGACAAAGGTTCGCGAACTTATCACTGTCGACATATCGAATGGCTGCGGCAGTCACATATTCACCATCAAGCTCGACTCAAAGATGTCACAGGTGCTCGATCACAACGAGATTGAGATGGGTCCAGTCATTGGAGGTGGTGGCTACGGTGCCATCTACAAATCAAGGTGGCGTGGACTATTCGTGGCTGTCAAAGTCATCTCTGAGATGAGTGATGGTTCAGAGTTTGAGAAGGAGTTGGAAATGCACAAAGAGCTCCTTCATCATCCAAATGTTGTCCACTTCGTTGGCTTCTGTGTATCACCAAAGTGTTTGGTATTAGAGGTATGTTGTTTTTTGATCACTGGTCACAGTTAGCAAGACACTGACTCACTCATTCAATCATTCAAAGTATGTCGAGGGAGGTAGTTTGGAAAGATATCTCCAGGATTCACAGACATATCAGTTCAGCCCAGAGCTTAGACTAAAGATGGCACATGACATTGCCAAGGGAATGTGTTTCCTTCATCAGAATGAGATTCTTCATTTGGACCTTAAGCCTCAGAACTTCTTGGTATGTTGTGATGTCAAACAAACTTGATTGACTGACAGTCTCTAACTCGTATTGTATACATTATAGGTCGTATCACTCTCTCTTCAAGCTCCAGTTAACATTAAGTTGGCAGACTTTGGCTTGGCAACATCATCAACTAGATCATTCTATGGCGCAACTGTGGAGGGATCATTCCTTTATATGTCACCAGAGGTGTTTACACAGAAGAAGTTCTCAAGAGCAGCTGATGTTTGGAGTTATGGTGCATGTCTCATTGAGATTCTGTCTGGAAAGCGTCCATATCAAGAGTACGATGAGTTGGGATACCTCGAGTTGGCACGTGTAAGAGAGGAGGGTCTTCCTCCAACCATCCCCAGCGAAATTGAGCCCGAGCTCAAGAAGTTGATTGAAGCATGTATTCACAGGGATCATACCAGACGTCCAAGTTTCGAGAACATCGTTCAATTCCTCGAGAAGAAGGTTGAAGTAGTAAGTATACGCGACCCAACATACATATCCCAAGGTAGATACTAATCCCCTCTTCAGGCCGCAGCACAATCTGGATCACCGGACAATCATTTCTTCCAAGTTGGATCACCATTGACATCATCAGGATCATTCTTGGGTGGTATGGTTGGATCACCAAAGCATTCATTCCTTAACCCGTCAAAGTCAAGCATGAGTCTGGTCAGCACTCGTCCATCCACGCCAAAGCCGACTGTTCCACCCAGGTCAGCCTTTTCAAAGTCACAGGAACAAGTCGATACCAAGACCATGAGGGCAATGACCGAGCTATCATTGGTATCCGATAATACCAATCAACAACGCGAAGCACCAATCGCCCCTCTTCCACAACGCTCTGTAACATTATCAACACCATCCACTTCATCATATATTCAACAACAAAATATACAGCCACCTCAACAACAACAACAACAGGCATCACAGAAATCGAACCAAACTACCACCGCCATACCAATTGCATCCAGACCATTGCCAGTTGTTCCCAAGAGAATGGCAACGCCACCAACCTCACCAAACAAACCATCCACTACTGAATCCAACATCAACCACATCATCACCAACCTCAACAATAACAACAACAACCTCAACAACAACACAATCTCAACAAAGACACCACCTATTCCAATCTCCAAGAACAAACTTATGAACTCTTCCTCTTCCACCACCTCGATACCAACGCCACACAGCCATGCACCTCCATTCCGCTCAACCTCTGCTTTTGAGTTCAAGGCAACAGTATCAAAGGAAGAATCATCAAGCAATAGCCCGACCCATACCTCAACAATCCAAGGCAATGGAGGCAATAGTGATATGAAGCTTGTGGAGTTGAGGACTCGATCAATCAGAGCACTCAGAGATATTTATGTCTCATCCCAAGACACGATCAAGATGTTTGCAGAGATCAAGTCAATGAGTGAATGCATAGAGCTGGGTCACAGGATACGAGACTTCAAGAAACACATCGAGGCTCTGTGTCTGGAGCACCTTGGAGTCAGCTGGGACGAGATCTCTGATTCAAGGAAGGCATACAACAAGAAGACGCATATCTCCAACATCCAGTCACCTCATCCATCACATTTCGACGGACCAACCTTCAACAAGGTGCTCATCCTCCGTGATGCCGCCATCGCTGTGGGTGAGTGCGCCCTTGACTCGGTCTACTACCTCATGACACTACTCTCACCATCGACGTTTGGATCAGCCAGTCCACTATCATCTTCTCCATCATCAGGTTCCTTCCTTGGAGGCGATCAAAGTTCAGCCAACAGAGCAGCATTCAGCATTGACAAGGATGTCTTGTTAAAGATTGCCAAGATCACAAGGGATCTTCATCCACTTTGAGTGACCATATATACAAATATTAAACTATCAATTGGTTTGAAAGAGTTGCAACATGTTTAATTGTTCCTGCTATTGGATTGTTGATAGACCTTGAGTGACTTGATGTCAAGGATTGCACCTTGACCGAATATCCTATTGGAGTCTAGCGACTGCTCATCGTGGAACGTTTGGTTGTGGTTACCACTACGTGGCGAGTTATATGGGGCGGTGGGTTCCCCTGCATCCAGGCGAACCAGTCCTTTGGAGAGTTCAGCAGAGTTCATACATGACCTTCCACCACCAATCGTTGTTTCGTGTCTGTGGCATGGAGCTGATGCGTCCATCAGAGTGAAGGTACCACCTCCGCACTGAACTGATGAAGGGAAGACAAGTTCCTCGCGTCCACCACGGTCAATGATCATGTGTTCCCTCGAGAGTCGATAGCCGACAGATGTGATACGGTATACCTCCTTGCCATTGATGAGCCATCTGACCATCTTGTTCTCGAAGTCCCATGCGATGGCTAGGTCCACAAAGGTCTTTGGTGATGCGCGCTCCATTGCAGGGATGGCAAAGACAAACGCTGCGTATCCACCAGGACCAAAGGGCAAGCGTTCGTAGAGAACATAGATCATTCGATCAGTGACAAGAAAGTCTGCAACCAAGTTGGTGTTGAAGTCCAACGAGTTGACTGCCACTGTTGCCAAGCGAAGGTCTGAATGTGGGTCGAGCACAGCAGCATTGCCAAATGGATGTCGTTCAGTTCCAAATGATTGGGAGCGAATGGTGAAGCTGCATACCAGTTCTTGGCCTTGTGTTGGTAGAGGGTAGGAGTCTTGAGTGAGGGCCAGCCACTTGACATGGTCAAGCGATCCACCTGGGCTTTGTGGAGCGGTCAATGTGAAGGGATTGGAGTCCACTCTCAAGTATCTTCCAACATCTTGATCATTCTCGATGCTGACCTTGCCTTGATTGGCGACATAGGGTCCGAAGCCAAAGTGCATGAAGCCTTGTGGTGGGTTGGACACACTGCTGTTGCTGTCCAATGTGTAGTCATAGTGTTGAAGTACCACCTGATCTTGTGTTTGTGTTTGCTGTCTAAGCCATAGTTGTTGCAGTAACAACAAGACTAAAGGTACAAATAATGCTTTGTTATTCATTCTATTTATATCTGTCTAAAGATGATCAAATACAATGATGTTTAATAATAATCGGCTGCGTTCTACATCTGATCACGTGATCAATTTTTGAACATCAAAAATAACGACAAACTATGGAATCATCCCACTACAATAATGATCAACCAAAGCTGGATCATTATGGATATTTAGAATCTATATAGATATACAACTCTCTCGAGTTTATTAGCAACTATATCAATTAGCAATCGCACATTCTAAGGATAAAGTTGCGTAGTTGACCTCCACGACGAGATTGATCTCTCTTGATACGTTCGAAGCTCTTGACTACGCTTATGTAGTGCTTGACAAAGTCTCGAAGAGAGTATATTCCTGAACCAAACTGAATCATCTCTGGATGTAGCTTGAACATGACCTTTCGCTGGAGGAGATCTTGTCGGACACCTTGGAATGAAAGGTCCAACTCCTTGAGTGCCTCGTTAAGGTCCGTCTCGCTATCGTAACCTTCCTCGCGTGCTTGATTGAATACCAATTGGATGATGTGTTGGAGTGAGCGACAGATGGCCGTGATCATATGCTTTAGAGGTGCCCTGATGGGTGCCATGGCCGACAACATGTCATCAGAGAACTCATAGTCGAATGCATTGTCAAAGGCCACCAGTCTGGTGTAGAGTTTGGACAGGTTCTCCAACATCTCTAGGTAGTAGGCCACGTGCATCTTGGGATGGATGGCCAGCTCAGACTTGATGTCATAGATCAAGCCCTTCTGAGCCGACATACTGACTCTGATCTTTCTGATGGATCCGGCAATTTCCTGTTTGATTACTGCGCGCTGTTCTGGTGAGCCGTCACTCTCAAGTCGCAGGCCAAGGTCCACAATCTTGATGAAGGTCTCGGCGATCGTGTTGGTCACCTCAAAGTACTTGAACCGTGAGGTCTTGTAGGTAAAGAATGGGAAGAGCATAAGAGACACGATGATCACCCATATGATTCCAAGACTGACGTTGAAGATACGGTTGACGGCGATCATGTAGGTGAAGTGATGGGCAAAGAACTCTCCATAGGTGATGATCATCAGTGTGAGGGCAAACACTGCGCCCGCATAGCTGAAGCGAACATCTTGCTGAACAAATGAGGCTGAGAACACGGCGATAAAGGTGGACACTGCAAGGATTACCTGTTTGACTGGCTCATTTACGACGTTTACCAGCATCATGATGAGGACACCAAGGCCACCACCCAGTACTGTTCCAATGAGACGATGGAAACCACGTGTCAGTGTTGCGCCCAGTGATGGTGACATTACCAGGCCAACTGTGGCGCACATCCAAATGCCACGAAGTTCAAATCGATCTGCAGACGTGCCTTCAAAGTAGTAGAATACTGATGCGGCAGCGGTGAAGGCCACTGACAGCTGTAGAGGGAACTTCCACTTCCTGTTGGCAAACCATAGATTGTAGAAGTACCTGAGGATCCATGCGAGTAGAAGGGTGAAGCTTGATGAGTGTGCGCTGCCAGGTTGACTTGGATCATAGCTCCGCAGTTCTTTGATGTTGCTCAATAGTAGTCTCCATCGCTTGATTAGGTATCTTGGGAAGGCCATGATCAACCAGGGTAGTCCATGCATGATGATCTCAATTGGCACTGGATAGGAGCTAGAGTCATTGTTGATTTCAAAGATGATGTCGGAGATCTGACGTTGGTTCTGAGCAAACACTGTGATGCTAAAGATGAAGAAGTGGATCTTTGAAACCTCAGAGGCATCGAGCAGGGGCAGGTTGTTGCGTTGGTACTCGTGCACCAACTTCTTGTAGGTACTGCTGCACTCTTGAACCAATGCCTCGGTCTCCTGTAGCGACTGCTCCAGGATGGACGTGGTGAGTTGATACTCGGACTGTCCCTTCTCCACGTCGAGACGGAGATGGTCATGTACTGAGTGCTTGTTGACCAGGATATGGATGATGAGGCCAATCTGAAGGAAGACCTCTTCGATGATCGAGTCCAAAAATGGCAACACTGGTATCAGGATCTCTTGACGGGCAAAGTAGCTGAAGCCATTGGACACGGCCAACTTGATCGATATCAGCTGCTTCTGGTTCATCTCCAACACTGTGAGCAGACGCTCAAAGTGTCCGATCAACTTTAGGTTCCAACGCTCTTGACGACACTCGACCAACAGCTTGGTCAGACGATCGATCTGCTTCACGAGGTGTATCTCCATCTGTGCGAGTTCGCCCTCACTCGGTATGAGTACAGCAGTGGAGAGCACCTGTTTCTTGCTCATCTTCTTGGAGAACAATTCCTTCTCCAGTGCAGTCGATCGGCTCAGAGGCAGTGGGCCCCGAGTCTCGCCAGTTGTCGTGTCGCTGTGTTTGTGATCGCCACGCAGAAAGTCCTTGAGCTTCTTGAAACTCTTGTTCTTTGGCATGCTGGCGCCTTCATCAGAGTGTTTCCGGCGATGTTGTTTCGGTGTTGTGTTGCCAGGTGTTGTTGATTGTGATGATGTTGTCGATGGTCCTTCTGATGATGATGATGTGACATCGATGCTTGGAGGCGACGGCACTGTCTCCACACCAATGACGTCGGGGATTACACATGAATGATCGGGTGATGATATTGATTCGGGTGACTGATCTGGTTGGGTTGGGATTGGGATGCTCATAGTTTGATTGAGTGGCGTGACATTGTTGTTGTTGTTGTTGTTGTTGTTGTTGTTGATTGGATCAAGATTGATACCAAGTAGATCATCCTCTTCTATATCGTTTGATGATCCAACGCTTTGATCGTTCAAAGGTGAGTCGCTGCTTATTGGTATGTCATTGGGGTGTGGAAACATGGGGAATGTGAATGAACTATTCTTCTTCATCTCTCGCTCATCATGACTGACACTAGCCTCCATCTGATATCCAACGCCTCTGAACAGGATCCTCGTGCTGTTCAACGTCTTGATGATCTTCCTCTGGAACAGTCTGGTGGCAAGTGTTGGCGCCACGATCAGACCCACCACAAGGATACTAGCAACGATCATGAGCGACGACATTAACGAGTCCCATATCTGTGAGCCCTTGTTCTCGCGTGGCGAAAAATATAGTATGATGGTGATGTCGATCAATGTCTTTTTGACCAGAAGTTGATTGAACCATCGTCGTCCAATTGCCGTGCTAGTCATGATGAACACGAATGGCATCAGGATGATGAAGCTGATCCAGAACAGATCTTCGGGAACGATGATGAACACCAAGTATACGTATAGTGAACTGAACAGACTGGCATATACCAATGTGGCACCATTGATGATGGCCGTCCATACTGAGAGAGTACATGTGATAATTATACAAAAGATCGGTACGAATAACAATGTGTTTGGATTGATATTTGATGGAATTAGAGTGAGTATGGCTGAAAGAGTAACAATGGCAGCCTCTCTCAATGCTATAATAGTTTCAAATCTCCATAACTTCTTCTTCTTTCCAGTTGTATTATAATAATATTGTTTCAGTTTCATCTAAATTATTGATTATTATTAGTTATACATGTATGGAATATCATGGCCATATGACTGAATAACTTACTCTTTATCTCTCTCTTTAACTTTTAAAATGTGATGTTTCGATAATTATGTGTCTTTCTTTGAAAGTAGCAACATAACTGTTACACCTTTGACTGACCGACTGACTGACCAATAACAATTGACCAGTGTTACTTTGTTAACCAATGGATGGTGAGTAAGCAAAAGGCGCAATAAACACACTCGCTATTGTTGTTGTCGTCGTTGTAATTATGTATGTAAGTGATAGCGCGTATCGAAACACCACACACCACTGTCGACTGACTGACTGCGCCGATCTTGTGCAAGTGTATCTCTGTGAGTGTTATTGTGAGTGAGTGAGTGAAGTGCAAGGTGTGTGTCTTTGTGCAGGTGCTTATCTCTTGGACAAGGTGACTGTCAAATGTATTATGTAACTATCTCTTTCTATCTATCTATCTCTTATAAATATTGTATGTGTGAATAAGAGTAGTGATAATATCTATCTGTCAGGTCAGGTGCTTGATATCAGGTTGTGATTCTTTGTCTTCCATGACACGATCTTAAGACGACCTTGTACCCAATGTTCACTTCGAGAGACAAGCTTATTGGGGCAGATGTCAAGCCCAATAAAACACTTTGCTTACATGGTCCTCTGTTTATTCATCCAAGGACCATCTTTGTACCGATTTGGTAAACGGGTGGGCCTCTCTGTCCACAAAACAATCGGCAAAAGTTTAAACTTTAAACCCTCAGTTAGTTTCAGACCGAACTAGTCCAACCAACAGACTAGCCTGGGTTGTTAGTGGGTAAAGTAGAGAGAGATAATAAACGACCTTCTTGCAAGAAGTAACACATAACCTAGGTTATAGCTTCGTAGGTAGGCACGTGTCTGTAAGCAGTCTGTTTACATTACAAGACGACTGACTGATACAATGATGAAGTCTGTCTGTTGTCTGTTGTATGACAAGAGCTAGTGTAGTCCTATATCAATCAACATATGTTGGTATTACCTGATCATTCGAATGGTGTTTATTAATATCACCATTATGATAGTGATCGAAATGCGCCATGTGATAGAGGCTCGTCGTGTTAGTCTATCGAAAGGGATCTATTGCAGGTTGAATGTAGTTGTTTGATTGAGGATGATTGATTAGCATTCATATAGCATGTATATATGATGATCAATAATGTAATCATTCATACCTTGGGGATGATGACGTGATAACGGTGCAGTGCATTACTCATCAAACGACGCTAATTGACTTTGATTGTATAATGATTGATTGAGTAATGTTGATTGATTGATATTGATGATTGAAGTGTACATATTCGAACTTGATGCTATCTATTGTTGTTTGTTTGTTTGATTGTTGCTCTACTATCGCTTAATGATGAGTGTTATCCTTTGGCTTGACCGAGTCAAAGATAAACTCTGCTACACAGTAAACAGCAAACAGACCGACAGCCTGCTTGAAGCCTGGAAGGACATTGTGGAACTTTGGCTTGAAGATTGGGGAACTCCTCCATTCATTAATATTTCCGTGAACCATTTCTATAATCTTATATATATAAATATATATGTAATGTTATCTGTATCTGTATCTGTGTATCAAAGTCATTACGAATGATCAACAAAACATGAAAGGGGTGAGTAACCCCAGAGTGAGTTCTCTTAAATGAAAAAAATCCAACAAAGTTGTAGACAAGGACAAGTGAAGTTGAAATCAATCATTATCTTTATTCTCTATTATTTGTGTACACATATATATATATATTTGATACAAACATAACTAACAACAAATATAAATATATTTACTATGGAATAAGGATGTCTATTAGGACATTAAAGAGTATTATCACTATCAATCATGTCTGGTTTGTATCATACTATATATTAAACATCCAACTAACAAATCTCCATTATTATTTATTAACATCCTTTATAACTTAATAAATATTGTACAAACATAATCTAGATACCATAATAAAGATGGAGAAAGAGCCAGAGATGGAAGTGAAGATGGAACCGGAGAATGATGATGATGTTGTCCCAAAGGTGAAGTTGGAGGATGTTGAACAAGCTTGTGATGTCAAAGTATTCAACAACAATTACAACAACAACAACAAGAAGGTCAAGATATCATTTGACAAGAGCAAATCAATGTTCTATTATGGTGACCTCACTGTTAGATTGTTAGAGACTGAGGACGCAATAGACATTTCTGGTTTGGGAAGAGGTAAGTAGCTAGACAACTGTATTATTGTTGTATTAAGCACTAACATTCCAACAACAACAACAACAACAACAACACACAAGCTGTCTCTAAAGTATGCACAACCATTGAATACCTCAAGTCCAAGAACATTGTCAATGTAGTGAGTATGTATTTAATCAAACATCACTACTCTGGTCCAATGTTAATACTAATCATTACAATCTTATGAATAGAGATCCACACTGGATTCTCCTCGAGTGTGGAGTTGGTTGTCAGCGTGACCAAAGGTCCAGCCTATGTTGAGTACCTCAAGTCGATGGAAGAGGTAATGTACTAGTTTGGCAATAAGATGTTATCGTTGCCGGTACTAACACCAAGACACAACAGAGAAAGAGAGCAAACTATGACCATGAAGATGATTGATTGACCAACACCCAATGATGGACCGTGTCCAGTGGCTGTCAACAGCACTGTTCGTATATATTTATCTATGTATATATCCAAAGATGATACATTAGTCGACAATTATGGAGAATAAATATGATAATCAATCAATCAATCAATCCAAAGTGACTGTGACAACATCCATGAAGTATCTTGATATGATGATGGTTAGGAGAATGATTAGGGCAAATGTTCGATTGGAGATAAACATGCGAAGACATGATCGTGGGTCATGGAAGTCCACTGTCTTCATCTGCCATGCCAAGTGAAGTGCTCCAATAGTTGTGCCAACATAATAGATCCATGGCATTGATGCTGCCATTCCTGCCATATTGAGTGCGCCAATGGTCAGTGCAGAGAACGCTGAAAGTATAACACGGCTATTCTCGCCAAATGCCTGTGCAGTTGACTTGACGCCGATCTTGACGTCGTCCTTCTTATCCATGTGTGCATAGATTGTGTCGTAGACCAATGTCCAGGCTATACCGGCCACGTACAGTGGCAGACATATGCTCCAGTCGCAGTAGCCCTGGACTGCCGAATAGCCCACCAGTGCGCCCCAATTGAATGCAAAGCCAAGCACAAGTTGGGGATAGTATGTAAAGCGCTTCATGAATGGATATACAATGACGATAGGTACTGATGCCAGTGACAGTAGTATACTAGAGGGATGGAGGGTAGGTGTTATGTGTTAGTTGCCTAAGGGGTCGGTTGTCGCGCGACATGACATGACCTACGTGTATGGGTTAAAGGTGAGGAGAACACAGAATGATACTCCGAGTTGGAAGGCCAACAGTGCCAGTGCCTTCTTGTGTGTGAGCTTCATTGATGCTAGGGGTCGAGAGCGTGTTCGCTCAACCATTCGATCAAACTTGTAGTCGGCCATGTCATTGATGACACAGCCAGCGGAGCGCATTAGTATGGCACCAGTGGCAAACATCACCATCAGCTTGATGTCGGGAAGTGTGCCTGGCGCAGCGGCAAATGCAGTGCTGAACCAACATGGATAGAGCAGCAATAGAGTGCCAATAGGCTTGTCCAGTCGTGACAGACGTAGATATGGCTGTATTGATTGCGGACATTTGTCGACCCATGTTGGCTGCTGATTCTCAACACTCTTGTCAGGTTGGTCGTTGTCCACCGGGTGCTGTTGCGGTGCTACATCGATCTGACCTGATCCTACACTCTTCAACAAAGGACTTGAAGGTGAGACAGTTGACAATGACCTCCTGCTATTCTTGGCTCTAGAAAGATCGATGTAATATAATGTATTGAAGCTTCCACAATGATTGCTGCTGCTGTTGTTGATGTGTTTGTTATGTGTGGAAGCACGTGCTAACACTGTTGTTGTTGTTGTTGTAGTGGTGGTGAAGTGATAACTACCAAACGCTAGATGTGGCACTACACCTTTGATTGAGGAGGAGGCAGTGGTAGAGACCAGTCTAATACCACCTCTTGCAATCCAACTAGTAGTATTGAAGCATGCTTTGCTCAACATGATGATGGTCTATCTGTTTATGTAAATAGGTTGCTTTCAAGAGTAACCCAACATCAGAAAGTTGGTCATCTACAAAAAAACGATCAATCTATTGTGATATTTTGTGGGACTTGCCCAGGATTAATCAATGGTGTGTCACAATAAATTTACATTGTTTGTAGAACCGGTCCTTTATATATAGGAACATATATACTTTTTTGGATATATATTTATATAATTAGAGTCATAATGTTTTAATATCATTAGGTTTATCAAATTATTTATAATATTTATCTAAAAACAATATGAAGTTTATTATCATTATCATAGTTCTATGTTTCCTATTAAAAATAATTAAATCTCATCCTTCCTTTGTTTTGGATATGCCTGGTTTTGATATTATTGAGCCAGAGAAGCCTAACTTTAATCCTTATTTAGATCCTGCCAAGAAAACGATAGAAGGCCTATCCCAATTGAATTCCGGAATTCCTATATCATTCCATGGAATGCCTGGTCTCCCTATGGACTTTGGAGCAGACTATGACCCTTATTTTCAGTCATCAGAATCGAGGAACAGTTTTGTTTGATTACCTAATTGCAGTTAATTACGAGGTGTGAAGGCTGGATCTATCGTGGTTGGTTGCCCAAGAGTGGGTAGTTTATAAATAGATGATAATAAAACATGGCTTGGCTTGTTCGACGTTGTATACGATGCATTCGTCGTAGTTGAGCGATTGGCCAGTCTCGCCCAGCACACTGTCAAAGCCCGCAGACGGGCTTTTGATCGTGACATGATCGTTATATAACTTCTCTCCATTGCCGACGAGCACGTCGGCGATGAACATGTACTTGTAGCCAGTGCCACCGTTGGTGTAGTCGTGGCTCTTGGACGACACGCTAGAGAAGTAGATGCCAGGACCAAAACGTAGGAAGTTGTTGAAATTGTTGGTGCTGTTTTGAGTGGGCAGGATGAACGACTGTTCGACGATGCGACATACGTTGCACTTGGATGAGCGACACAGCGACATGCCTCTGACGCCCAGGCCGCAATCGACCTTTGTGCCATGGAAACGTCGGCAACTGTTACCGGCCTTGAGCTGTTTACCATTCTGCTGCTTCTTGCTGACAAATTTGCCAACGGCTTCGATCTCGCTGCGCTTGGCTTCGAAGCGGCGTACAACGTCCATCGCCGGATTGACCTTGAGGATGTGTTGGATGACGCCACAGGGCTTCTTTGAGATGGGATGGTGCCATTTGGACGTGAATTGATCGGATACGGTTTTGAATTCCGGGTCGCTTGGGTCGAGCTTCATGACCGAGGCAAAGTTCTTCCTGTCCTGCACAGCGTGCTTCTTGGTGCAGTAGTCGTAGCCACTGGCGCGAGGATTGTTGCAACCATTCAGCTTGCAGAAGTTGGCAGCAGGCGAGCCAACACCGGTGGTGGGTGAGCCTGAGGATGAGGAAGAAGCAGACAAGGTGCTGTAGTGCTGTCCATGGGTCTTTGTACAAAAGTCATAAGGGTAGCTTGCAGGCCTCGTGCAGCCTGTGAACTTGCATATTTGCGCGGCGGGGATTGCAGTCGAGGTCGTTGATGTCGTAGAGGTCATTGGCTGTTGCTGCGAATTGACCCATTCATTATATTGTGCGACATGAGTTCGTGAACAGAACTCTGAACCTGCGTAAACGGTATTTGAGCAACCTTGTAGTTTACATATTGTTGCTGCAGACGACGATGATGTAGTCGTAGTCGTCGTCGACGTCGACATTGTCACATCAGTGTCGCGATCGCGCGATGGCAACTGGTAATACATTGATCCATGAGTGCGTCCACAGAACTCGTATCCAGGGTAGACGCGAGTGCTGCAACCAGGGTATTTACAAGTGATACACATCTCCTAGCCCTTTGAGCTGTTCGTAGTAGTATATGTACTTTATATGTATATAACAATGAAGTGAGTGAGTGAATAAATGAAAGGTCCACTAACTTAATACAAGATGTGCTTATCCTAAAACTCTACTCAACTTCATTTATAAACATCTATCTCTCGCTCATGCATGTAAATGTACACGTACACGTACATCATATACGGTCGCGACTAACATATACAACAAGAGAATGAAGATCAGCGACTTACCAAGCGATAATACGATCATGTGGATCACGCCGTCGCCCTTGGTGATGACCACAGAGGACAGAATGATGATCGAGCGACTCGAGAGCTGCGGCAAGCGATTCATCTACGTGCACCCAGAAGACGTCAACCTGGTCAACTACAACCGATGTCTATTCATACTCATGTCGGCCGCACAGTGGTCCTATCAGCTAGCCGTACACAACATGCTGCCCTTGGACGACATCAAGGTGCCACTCATTCTACTGCTGAGCCAGGTCACGCCGGTGGGCCTGCCACCCACCTGCCTCAAGGACCGAGAGCTGATCACACACAGCCAGCTTGCCAACAACTACTACTTGGCCGCTGACACGCGTCGTTGTATGGGCAATAATGCTCGACAGACTGACACAAGCACAGGCCCAATCTACTTTTATCACCAAGACCAGCCATACTACCAGTTCACCAACTTCTTCCAAGCGCCATTCGAACTCGATGGATTGACGTGGCGCACGGCTGAGCACTACTTCCAGGCACAAAAGTTCGTTCCACATCACAATCTGGTTCAGTACGTCAATGAACTAAGGACGCCACGCGAAGCATTCGAGTTCTCGCGTAATCCCAAGGTCAAGGATTCGCTGCGACACGACTGGCGAGACATCAAAGACGGCATAATGTACAAGGCAGTACAGGCCAAGTTCAATCAGAGTCCAGAGCTCATGGAGTTGCTGATCAATACAGGAAAGCGCGACCTGGTCGAGCACACCAGGAACGACAACTACTGGGGCGATGGAGGCGATGGAACCGGGCAGAACCGGCTTGGACTAATTCTCATGAAAGTCAGATCAGAGTTGCAAGACAGGTACTGGCATTCATCATCATCCACCAGCGTGCCAGCACTATAGCAAGACATGCGTCACATCGATGTAAATATATAATATATTATAGTTTAGTATACATTCAACATGGGCTGGCTCTCATCCTGGTGAGGCCTTGGACCCAAACTCATTCACTACTGGCCACCGGCATGCAGTTGGCCATGAGTGCGACAGCAGAATTCGTGTGGAGAAAATACAGGCTTGGTGCATCCAGTCAACTTGCAGGTTTGAGATATGTTGGTCGATGTCGTCAAAGTTGGAGTGGTGGTCGTACTCGTAGACGTAGTGGCTGGCTGTGCCGTTGGCTGTGCCGTTGGTTTTGCTGCTGGTTGTGCTGATGGTTGTGCAGGCGGAGTAGCCACTGGACCTGTTGAACTGTTGGCAGCAGTAAGACCCTGGGATTGGGACTTGTAAAGCCTTCCATGATTCTTGGAGCAGAACTCGAATTGACCGAATACTGGATTGTTACAGCCAGCTATCTTGCAGGTTGATGGTGTCATTGACTTTGGCGGTGCAGCAGCAGCAGGCGGTGTTGTTGTTGTTTGTGTTGGGGATGAGGTGGCGGCATTCGTTGTCGATGTTGATGCCGTTGATTTTGTTGATGTCTGCTTGCTGCTTTGATGTTGCTGAGCATGGCCACGAGAGCAATACTCATGTGGAGCAAACACTGGTTGTGAGCATCCAGAAAGCTTGCATGTTGCGGGTGCCTGAGGCTGTGATTGGGCCTGCACCTGAGATTGCTGCTGCTGTTGCTGCTGCTGCTGCTGCTGTTGTTGTGTGCCATTGCCAAGCTGAGGCTGAGCAACAACAGGTGATTGAATGGTCTGTGTTGTGACCACATTGCTTGGCTGTATCTGAGACAACAATAACGCCTGTTGGAACTGCTGACCATGCGAACGTGTGCAGAACTCATAACCAGGATACAAAGCCTTGTTGCAACCAGGAAGCTTGCATGTTGTAGGCGCCGCGGCGGGTACAGCAGGAGCAATGGGAACAACCACAACAACATTAGCCTGTCCCTGAGTCAGTGTGCTCAAGAACTCATTGGCATGTGTTCGCGTACAGTAATCGTGACCTGGTTGCACATCCTTGTTACAGTCTGGCATCTTGCAGGTCAGTCTTGTCTTGAGTACCACAGGGTTGAGACTTGTCTGATACAGGTGGTGGTGAGTGCGAGAGCATGTCTCGTGGCCACCAGGAGCCACTGGCTTGTCACAACCGGCCAACTTGCAAGTGTTTGGGTCCTTGACCTTGTTGGTAATATCTGTCGTCATATTCTCGTCCTCGATAAGGTAGAAGGTGTCCATGTACTGCTGAGCATGAGTTCTTCCACAGAAGTCATGGTCAACGTCGTGGACTGGCTTAAGACAACCTTTGAGTTTGCACAGTCCCTTTGTTGTATGCTGTGCATAAGGATGGTATGGTGCTACATTTGACGTAGTCGTCGATGTCGATGTTGTTGCAGATGTCGATGATGGTGATGGCAAGGAGGTAGTCGTCTCCACACCCTGCATTGGTTGAGATTGGTCTTGATCTGCGCCACTCTCAATCGCCATTGTGTAGTCGATGAATTTGGTTCCTTGATTGGAAACGCGAGTTGAGTTCTCTTGTGTCATTATTGGTATAATGGTGATCTGGGAGAAAGGATGTCAGTCAACTGCATATCAAGATGCATGTGTTCGAACGAATTGCAACATACTGATGGTTGAGTGACAATGGAGTTGGTGATCTTGCCAAGTAGTGCGAGTTGGTCCTGTGTAATCTGATTGGCCAACGTGCTACAACAGTTGAACACACGGTCGTAGTCTGCTTGGTTCAGTCCATGGTAGAGCAGGTATAGGATGGACTGTTGGACAACAACACGCATCGGTATCTTGTCAACACTCTCTGATTGTGAGGTGTTGAGCAGTTGAGCTACATTATCAACCAATCCTGCTGGCTGGGTATCAGTTGTAGTAATATTGAGTATGTCCTTGCAGACCTGGCACAATGCCTCGACATTGACAGGTTGTTCGGCATCGATCTCATAGCTGTCAGCCAGTCTGACCAACAATCCAAACTTCTCTTGATTCATTGTCATCGTGTATCTGTCTGTTTGTTAGTGTATCTGTGCACACAGTGAATGAATGGCAAAAACAACAATGAGTTGATGGTTCATTCAGTTTCACGAGCTAGTGAATGTATAACTAACTACATGTACAATAACCAATTCTACATTGATGATGATGTAGACTATTCCGACTACCTTGCTAGTTTAGCCAACAACAACAACGACAACTACACTTATAATAACTTTATCAACAACATCACTTTAAATAACATGGTCAATTACAACAACAGCAACAGCGGTAGTGTGCCTCGGTATCAATATCAGAAACAGAGTAGACCGAATCCTAGACAACGCAGACGAATGAGGGAACGCAGGGAGACACTGGATAACGATCAACATCTGATTACGCAGGTGCAGGACAAACTACACGAGATCGCCAACGACGTCATGTACCACGGAACATCCACTGCCAACGCAATGTCGATCATGTCGCACGGCTTTGTCTCTAGCCACCACGGTCTGCTTGGCTACGGCGTCTACCTGGCCTCGGAAGAGAAAGCCGAGAACTTTGCCCGCGATGCAAAGAATCGCGGTAAAGGCGACGGCGCCACCATTCTCATGTGTTCCTACCATGCACCGCGAATAGCTATCGCAGTGACAGCGGAGGAAGCCGAAGACGACTGGCAAGACAGCTACGACGCAATGTGGGTGGGCTCCACCTCTCGCTCGACACGACCCGAGCTATGCATCGCCAATGCTGCCAATGTAGTTGTTATTGGATACAAATACCTAGGCGAGACCGAATATCGTAATCCACATTGCTAGGGGAATGTATCCCCCACCAGTAATCATGGAAGTTGTAATGTATTGCCAAACGATTGGCACCACAACAGCATATATTGTATCATTAATAAAAAGAGGCAAGACTCCACCACCTGTTTGTTGTTGTGGTAGATACAGTCCATAACCGCCACTTGCCATCCAAAAAATAGTATTGATTGGATGGAGCACATGCCTTGATCAACATGCATTTTATGGATGTATGTCTACGTGGTTTTGCGATGAGAGTGTAGTGATTATGCATACCTGAACACATCTTGTTTAAAGAGCCAGTTGGTATTAGGATCTGGCTTCGTGTTGGCGTCGACCTCCTCCCAATCAATGCCACAAGCCAAGTGACAGGGTACTATGTTTGATAGAGAACAGTGTTAGTATTGATTGATTGATTGATTGATTGATTGATTGATTGATTGGATGAATGATATATAAACAAGATGAAGGTATTGGGATTGATCTTTCGAAAGATTATTGAATGTATTTGGGATGTAACTTACTTTGAGGGTTGGATAGATGCCTCCATCCGTTGCTAGTAGATGGAAGGGTAAACTGATGTTTTCCACAGTAATTGCACATTGCGATATGTG